GTTGGAGGGTGATAACAGCGATACCCCTTTTGATGAGTAGCATATTCGAGAAAAACACATCGCAACGCTCGAGGAGTTAGCTTGTTGCGTTGATGTTTATGGAGGTGTACAAATGCTACACAACCAAATACGTGAGGAGGTAGATTTGGGACGATTGAGGCAACAATTGCGTCAGTGAGAGCCTGTAATGGTGTCTGGAAGTCAATCAAGCTAGAAGGTACTCGATTGATTAGATATGCTGCAGAGACAAGAGCTTCTCCCCAATACGATAACGGCATATGAACATTTATCAAGGAAGCACGAATAACTTCTAACAAGTGACGATTTTTTCGCTCTGCAACCCCATTTTGCTGGGGTGTATTGGAATAAGTGGTTTGATGAAAAATTCCATGTGCTTCCAAATATTGTTGAAGGTCAAAACTCCGATATTCTCCACCATTGTCACTACGGAGAACCTGAACATGTACATTGTAGTGAGTTGCAACCATTTTTATAAAACTTTTGAAACAATAAGTTCACTTCACTTTTGGATTTCATCAAGGACAACCAGGTCATCCTAGTACAATCATCAATAAAAGTAACAAACAAACATGATCCACCTAAAGTAGTAACTTTGGATGGACCCCAAACATCAGAATGTATAACCATAAAAGAAAGTGGACTTTTATTCAAACATAATGGAAACGAAGTACGTGGCTCTTTACTAGTTCACAAACATCACAGCGTAAACTAGAACCATCAAAATTTTTAAATAAACTAGGAAATAATTTTTTAAGATAACCAAAGGAAGCATGCCCCAGACGTCGATGCCACAGCCAGATTTCAGATTTCTTTTTCTCCCCCTCAGAACCATCTACTGTTAATGCTTGTCGTAGCTTGTCAGAACTTTTTGATAGCAAGTCCAAGTAATACAGCTTCCTTCTCCTAATACCACAACCAATCGTCTACTTTGTTTGTATGTCCTTAAACACACAAAAATCAGGCTAAAAAATTACAACACAGGATAAAGCTGTGGTTATTTGGGAAACTGACAAAAGATTATAAGATAAAGAAGGAACAACTAAAACAGAATCTAAATTTAGATTATCAGTGAGTGTCAAAGATTCTTCCCCAATAACTTGGGTCGAAGTACTATTAGCAATAGAAACAAAATGTTGTGAGGAGGAATTAAGCGGGGAGACCTGTCTAGAATCAAATGTCACGGCCTGATCCGGCGACGCGATGGCGATGATAGAATCACAACCCGATTCAGCAAGGCAACGATTTGATGTGATCCGGTGAGGCGATGCGATGAGGTGCAGCGGTTCGTTGCCAGCAAGAGCTGCAGATCCGGCGACGGTTGACAGTGAAGCAACAGCGATTTGACAGTCAAGGTGCAGCGGTTCGTTGCCGTTTGAAGAGTCGCCGACAAGCAGCGGTTCACGGCAATTCAGATCCGGTGATGACAAATCGCCGGCAGCGGCAAACAACAGTTCCATTGTAGGCAGCAGTTCGGTTCGATAGCGTCGGCGTCAGTTGGAGAGCAGCATCAGCGTCGTCGGTTGGAGACAGCGACGGCTATGGCCATTCGGCGGTTCTGAGATGGCCGCAGCGTCGTCGGCGGCGGTTGAACAGCAGTGAAGGTCCGGCGATGGCTATGGTTTGTGATAGCAGCGAGTATAGGTCTGTGTCTGGATATGGTGAATGTATGGGTCTGTGTATGGGTATGTGAATGTGAATTTATGTGTATATGTATGGGTCTGGTGTTGGAATGTATGTATATAGGTCTATGAATTTCAAAGATAAATTCAAAGAGATTCAAAGAATACGATTCAATGATGGCTCTGATATCATCTTCAAATTCAGAGAAAGAATATGAAAATCAAAACTCAATTCAATATTATTCATGATGGTGTTACATTCAATTTATAGAGTAATATCTAGCTAAAATAGGTAACTAAATATACAATAATTGGGAAACTAATTACCTACCAATTAGCCCTAAATCACGGAGAAAATAATTCAATCATATAGCTGTACAATAGGTAAAATCTCAACAAAAGCAGTAATTAATGAATCATGGAGCAACATTGATCCCAACAATGCCAACTTTGATGATGTTCATGCCAGCTGAACAGACCAAGAAAGCCGATCTACGCACCAAATCAGTCCACTGATAAAAAAGGAATCTCATTAAATCAGCAAGCAACCAAATTTTATATAAATATTAAACATAACATCAACAGACAAGAGTATTAAATTTTATGATAAGTAAGGTTAGTGTTACTCATACGGTCATACCTGAATCAGTAAGGAGGTTAGTGTTATCTTTGAAATTAGAGGAGAAGTCATATTATTTAGGCAATCTACAAAAGAGGTAAGTGAAATTATCCCAATAAAGGAATAGTGCATACTTCTTTTCTTTTTTTCTTTTTTATTTATTATTATTTTTTTTTTTGGTGATCTTCTTACTCACCTAATTACGTTATTAAACCATTTTCGTTTTTGTAAATTTTATACGAAAAAGTTGAATATTTTCCTGTGCATTTAGATAAGAAAAATAAATGGAGTGTGTTAGTCTTGTAAAATGTTATAGTATCTCCAACCGTTGTATATATATTTTTGTGTAAATCTGATGTGTTAGAATAGATTTACATAAAAAATTTTGTACTACCTATTTTTAACTTCAACGGTTGTTTTATACCTTTTGTGTAAAAAAATATCCCCATAACAACTAACCACGTGTCATACCCAAGGCCCTATATAACTTTTACAAACTTATTTGATTTATTTACTTTTTCGGGATTAAACCTCACATTCCAATCCTTCTCAATTAGGAAAAAAATAATAATTTCCCCCTATAATTCATTTTCTACAGAAACAAAAAATATGCAACAACAATTGCGATTGAATTGATTAATCACAATAATAATAATAATAATAATAATAATAATAATAATAATTTGTATAACTGTATCAAACAACAATATATAAAATCGTGATTAAAATATATATCTAATTTTTGGTTAGTAAATATTTATCTCATTAAGAATCAAATGTGAAAGACTAAAAAATCTAAAAAAACCTTAGAATCTACAATGATTATTACAGAAGATAAGATGAAATGAAAGTGATAAATCAAACTATTTTTATTAAAAAAAAATAAAATAAAATAAGAGATGGTCGAACGGTTCTTACGTTGTCAACAATTGCAGATTCTTCTCTATGACGCTCTAAAAGTGAGAGACAAAGAGGGGTAAAGGAATGAGGGAGACAAAGAGAATCGAGAGTGGGAAAGGAGAAGGAGAGAGAAAATATGCTTACGTGGCTGTGTAAAATACACAATTCTTTTACACATTGGTGATGTGGCAGTGTATTTTAACAGACAGCTGAAGATGAAAAAAATTTATAAATCATATGTGACAGTGCATATTTTACACAAAAATTTTTTTTAACAGACCGCTGGAAATGCTCTTAGATTGGTAGAGGGTTTCATCTCACAATCTTTCTGGATGGGAAAGTTAATGGTCATATGCAGTAATACTTAACAACTTAAAATTTTGAGTTAGAAGGGAAGCGTCCTGCCCATTACAGTTAATATCAGAGTTAAATTCAATCTTTGATTCAGTGTTACGCCAAGTGCCCACTAAAAGGAGTCCAAACCCCACCTCGGTAAGCAGGATGGTCCGACCACGATTGAGAAAGAATGCATCCGCTGAAAGAATCCAAGCCCCACTTGAGTTGTCCGATCATGGGTGGAGAAAATCTTAGGGTTTTCATCTCACATTGGATCCAAATAGAAAAATTAATATATCTATTTTAAAGAGAAAAAAGAAAGGTATAGGTTTTTTTTTTATTTTTAAATAATAATAATAATAAGGCATAGTGATAAGAAAAAAAACATCCAATTCGGGCCTTACCGGGTTTGTAACCCTGAAAACAATTTTCCGTTCACACAAAACTGAAAATAAAAAACTGTACAAAATTTTTACTTAGTTCAGTTTTATGAAAATTCAGTTATAAAAAGACCTATTTTCAAATAACTGTCTTTTATTATTTTTTAAAAATTATTTTTAAAATTATAAATCAAGCAAACTCATTTTTTTTACTTGAGAGGCAAATAGGATAGCACCAAAACTAATCTTATTATAGTGATAAGAAAAAGAACATCAAATTGTTTTTCCCTTCCCTTCTCATTTCTAAATCTAAGACCACTCTGCTATCTTTTTCTCTCTTTCTGTTCCTCCTTCCAAATCCCAATCAATGGGTAATAAATAATATATATTTTTTCTTCTTTTCTTTCCGACGGTGTCTCTTTACAATTACATAAATTTTTTTTTTTTGTTAATTCGGGATTCCAACACTCAACCTCTAAAAATATGAGATAAATATAGACATTTAATACGGATACAACAATGATATAATAAAGTTCAATTTTTGAACACAATAGAAGTACATCTAAAAATAAATCATATAAAATATTTATAAATAAATAAAAATTATTTTTAATTGATTTTATCTTATTATCATGACTATAATAGCTAATTAAAACCTTGAAAATAGATGGTGTTATCTATGTTTTCTAAAATTTTATATATTTTTTAAATTAATTACACTAGAACGCGGTTTTTCTAAAAAGATATTTACAACCTGCCCACAGAATTCTAAAAATGCATTGTGATTATATCATTAAATATATAAATTTCATAACACTAATTAAAATATTTAAATTTATAATCACGTCAAACAACTGTTTATCCGTGTACGAACCGAGTAATTGACCCGACGAGAAATTCCCATTGGGTATGGAAACCGAAGAAGTCCTTTTATTTTTCACACGTGTGAGAACAGCCTATCACCGGTTACCGGTCGCCACTTTGGAACGTCGACTACGGCGAACCTCTTAGTAGTCCAAAGCTGTGTGCGGGGTCCACCACCTCCTCCTCCTCCACCACCACCACCTTCCTCCCCTCTCTCTCTCACTACAAAACAAATACATGTGCTAATATATATATATATATATACACCCACACACATATAGATATACAGCTATATATGTGAACATAAATTGTATAGTACACCAAAAAAAAAAAAAAAAAAATTTATAGAGAGAGAGATAAAGGACGCCCCCAAAGCCCAAACCAAAGCCTGCCCAATTTCTGCACAGAGAATCGAAAGTATGTCTTAGTGCCAGAACCGCGAAGAACAGAAACTGCAGAGACATATATATATCTAGAGAGAGAGAGAGAGCGAAGAGAGAGAGAGAGAGACAGAAAAAGAGATTGGTTGTGCATATAGTTCCAATCAACAAGTCCTCTTTCTTCCTATCCAATCCGTAAGTCCCCTGTATTATTGCTCGCTTTTTCTTTTTCTCTCTCTCTTTTTCCTCTTCTTTCTCGCGTGGGAAAATGCTGTAGAAAATCTTTCTCATCCATAACGTAACCAATCGTTAACAGATCTAGTTTAATTATTGTTATTACTGAAAACTGAAAGCTTAGTTTTGATTCGATTGTTTTTGAAATTTGATTCATTTTCGGAAGATCTGGTTTGGCGAACTTTGTTGTTTGGTGATTTGACACAGACCTGTTTGATCAAAAGCATAGTTTTGATGGTGATTTACATTCTGGGTTATTTTCATTGTTGAAAATTTTGACGATTTGAGACGCGTCTAGACTTGTTCAGTTAGTATACAATTAATTGAAAGATTGATTTTTTTTAATACCCAATTGATAAGGATCAGTATTCTTTCGATTCAGATCTTTGGGCGTTACAGATATAGTCAAAACGTTAGGTTTTTGTCATAATTATCTTCATTCCGTTTCTGGGTTTGCTTTTTTTCTTGAAAAAAAAAATTGAAGTCAACAATTTGGGGTTCTAAAACTTCTCTATGTTTTATTTATAAAAAAAAGGATTTTTTTTTTCCATATCTGAATAGGTTTTTATTTTTTATTTTTTTTTATGTTTGACAAAGTTTTTGGGGATTTGGGGGCTCTTGCTATTCATTTTTGGCAGTGGATTTCGGTTTGGTGAGGAAGAAAAAAGGATTTGAATCAGTTTGAGTTCCTAAATTTGCTTCTTTTTTGGATTGAACAATTTAGACATGTTGGAAGACCGACGCTGTGTGCTTTCGAGGGGCTATCGGAGGACCTGTGAACGTGAAGACGATTGGGCTTGCATGAATTACGAGCTAGGAAAATTTGATGCTAAGAAAAATGGCAAGAGGCAATTAGAAATTGATGGGGATGAAGAAGTTTGTGTAAGGAAGTTGTCCAAGCAATCTGATGATTGTGAAAGATTGGACTTAACACTAACATTGTTTGACATTTCTGTGTCCCAGGCAGACCAATCTGCTAAGCAGCATCAAGCTGGGGATACTTCAGATTCGGGTTCCCTTATCCATCAAATTGGCTGGGACAACTCAATTAGCTGTCTCAGTCGTTGCTCCAGGTCCGATTATGGTTCTATAGCATCTTTGAATCGGAGCTTCCGCTCTGTAATTCGTAGCAGTGAGCTCTATAGACTGAGACGGGAGAATGGTGTGATTGAACACTGGGTTTATTTTTCTTGTCGCCTCATTGAGTGGGAGGCTTTTGATCCAAATCGGCGCCGCTGGATGCGCCTGCCAATGATGGCCTCCAACGAAAGCTTTAAGTGTTCAGACAAGGAGTCCCTGGCTGTTGGCACTCAGCTTCTTTTATTCGGAAAAGAGTTGATGTCCCATGACATGTCCCATGTCATGTCCCCTGTCATATACAAATATTGTATATTGACAAACACTTGGTCATCTGGAATGAGGATGAATGCTCCAAGATGCTTGTTTGGGTCTGCCAGCCTTGGGGAGATTGCTATTTTAGCTGGTGGTTGTGATTCAGATGGTAACATCCTGAGCTCTGCAGAGCTTTATAATTCCGAGAAGGGAACTTGGAAGACATTACCAAGCATGCATAAACCACGAAAGATGTGTTCTGCGGTGTTTATGGATAATAAGTTTTATGTGATTGGGGGAATAGGAGGAAGCGAATCAAAGTGTCTTACGTGTGGAGAGGAGTTTAATTTGGAAACAAATAGTTGGACCGAGATCCCTAACATGTCTCCTGTACGGACTGGTGTAGCCAGGGAATTCGACGTGCCTGCTACAGCAGAGGCACCTCCTCTGGTTGCTGTTGTACGCAATGAATTGTATGCAGCTGATTATGCAGACATGGAACTAAGGAAGTACGAAAAGGAAAGGAAAATATGGGTCACTGTAGGGGGATTGCCTGAACGGGCAGGTTCCATGAATGGTTGGGGCTTGGCATTTAGGGCATGTGGAGATCAGCTTATTGTTATTGGTGGACCTAGGGCTGTGGGTGAAGGGTATATAGAAGTGAATTCATGGGTCCCAACTGAAGGCCCTCCAGAGTGGAACGTGCTTGCCCAGAAGCAATCTGGTAACTTTGTCTATAATTGTGCTGTGATGGGATGCTGAAGATTTGGAGTTTGGTGGTTCAGTGTGCACTATTATGGTGCCTTTCGCTGAACGGGATCTACAACAGATTGTTTTCTTCATCAAGCACATGATTCTTGCTAATGGGTAATTTGTCCCAACTCTTCTCTTCTTTCTTCTTTTCCTTTCCTTTATTTTCTTCTTCTTCTTTTTTTTTTTTTTCCTATGAGTGGAGAATGATGGGGGATAAAAATCAGACTCTACTCAAGTTTCAACATGATGTTTTTAGTAAAGAGGTCTTGAGAATATGTCTAGAACATTTATGTATGTTCTCTTCAGTTGTATTTGCATCTTTCCCCATGTTCAGTGACATGAGAATTTTCAGAGGTGGGCATTATGTATCACAGAGATAGGTTTAATAATTTGAAGTACCAATACATTTGTAGGTTGTGGTTAGTGTTTGCTGAAGGTTTTTTTATCCCCAACAATCATAAAGTTCTTCATATAGTTTTGTAATTCATAAATTTTTTTGGCATTCACTTGATGAAAAAAAAAAAAAATGTCTTGAGTTTTTCCTGTTGGAACATGGGATATGTATTGAATACATTTATAGCTGCAATTTTTTATGGGCTATACCGAGCTTCTCTTTTTAACTTCGTCTGTACCCAGGAGCTTATTTTGTTTTCTGTATTTGTACTTCCTGGTTGCACAGATTTAGATTGTTATGTTTTCTATTGTTATTATCAGAAAAGTTACTATATTATTAGTTGATTGTTTGCTTCTAATCTTTTATTCCCCCTTTTAATTTGATTTGTCAAGTACCTTTCGGATTATATTTTCATGAGGCTGCACAGAGTTCAATCATTGATTACCCCATGCGAGAAAGTTTTAGGCTAAGACAGGTAATTTGTACTCATGACAATGCTAAGATATGATAGTTGACAATAAAAGGGCATCCTAGTTAGTAAAGTTATGGAAATAGCAGCTATATTATTTTGCATGATTAGTAGCCAATTCCATGGAGTTTACCTGGTTGTGTTTATATCATCATCCTTTAAAGTGCACAAATTAGGTACTTTAGGATTGAATTTTTATATTTATTAGTTTTATCTATTTTTGTTGGCACTTGTATATCAAGTAAACTATTGGAGTTTCCTTTATAATTTCAGATTTAGCCACATTGAGATTAGGTTAATTTTGCTCATAACATAAAATTGCTATAAATTCAGGGGTGAAAAATTGCTATAATAATGCTATCACTAATAATATTGGCGGAAAATGAGTATTGTTATTGTGGTTAATATACATATATGTATAAAAATCTTCTCTTTTTAGAAAAAGAAAATATGCAACGTTTCTTTTTTTTTTTTTTTCTTTTATTATTTTTTTTTCATATATTGGTGTGCTTGCTCATGTTTACAGTGCAAGTGCACGTGTTATTGAGAAAATACATGATTAAAACTCTAAATATACTAGTAATTTTAAAATTTTGTTTGCTTTGGATGATTGAAAAGGGAGGCCAAAGAAGGAAAAAAAGAAGCGAATTTTGGAAATAAATTGGCATTTCTCCCATTCCTAGCTAATTGAAAGATATTTCTAGTGCCATCTCTTAAATCAGAAAACATTATAAGTAGTATATAATTCACAACTCGATGAGTGGTTCCCCAACTTTTTGAGTTGACTAAATAAATAATGTTCTCTGTATAAGGTCATAAATTCAATTAAAGCTCATGCTATCATATATTTTCTAAGTATCTCGACCTATGTTAGTTTCTGTCTTCCCCTTCTCCTTGCATGATTCTGAATAAGGATCATTTTAGTTTTCCTAATTGGTGCGGTTATTCGTAGTTGTTGTACATGACCAAAATATTTTAATTGGTCTTCTCTCTTTTTACCAGCAACTGGTGCTACTTCAACCATCTTATTAATGTACTCACTAGTTATTTGATCCTTTTTTTTTAATCTTGCCGTACATTCATATCAACATTGGTTTCTTAACTGTTCAACATTTGGCCTTGTAAAGTATGGCTAGTCTAATAATTGTTTTATAAAATTTGCCTTTCAATTTTGGAGGTAGACACTGATTTCACAATATGCCAAAAATACTCCATTTGAACTCATTTTGCTTTTATTCTAGGATGAGCTTCATCTCCAATTTCTCATTCTTTACATAATAGGGTCTACATAATGAAAATATTCGCGTTGTGGTATTTCTCGACCTTCGATTTTCATATATCCCCCCTTCTATTTTTAGTTTTATTAGACTTGCATTCCATATGAGGGTGAGACTTAACTCAATGGTAAGGTTGCTCCATTTTGACGTGACGGTCACAGGTTTGAAATAAGAAATAGGCTCTCCACATTTGGATTTAAGGCTGCATATATCTGACCCTCCTAGGCCCTGTAATGGCGGGAGCCTTGTACACCTGGTTAGTCTTTAGACTTGTATTCCACATATTCAAATCTCTAGTTTAGCACTTATCCCTATTATAGTTTTATCAATCAAATCAAAATAATATTATCAAGATTTAGCATATTTGATAAAATCCTACTTGATATTAAGTCTCATCTTGGATATGTTTTGTTAATAAAGATATGGACTTAATGCTGATCCTTGATATAATCCTACTAGAATCGAAATTCGCTTGTTTCTCCCAAGTTTGTCTTACTGTGGTCAGAATTTTGTTTTACGTATTCTTTCATGCGGCAATATATCTAACTTATATGTAACTTCATTTTTTATTTTATTTAAAACTTACATAATATATTCTAGGGACCCTATCATTGGCCGTTTGAAGATTGTTCTTCTTCTTTCCGTGTCTTTTCATTATTTTTTTGGTTATAAATAGCTTCAATTGTTGATCTTTGTGGCATAAGTCCAAATTGATTGTTGACACTATAATTTCACACCTTAGTTTTTTTGGTTGCCAAAAGAAGGGGTGAATGTTAGGTGTTGCAAGGTCATGCGAGCATTGAAAATCTAGGGGCAAACCTGTCTCTACTTTCAGATGCAACTAACTGGTTATATCGAAGAGGGGGAGGACAGGGATGTTGGGTCGGATAGAGTGGGGGAGACAAACAGTTAATGTTGGATAATATTGTTGATTGATTAACTGGTATAGGATATTGGCAAAATGAACTAGATATTGGATGAATGTTTGGATTGAACAATGGGATTGAGTGAGGAATAACTATATGTTGTCCCTTTCATTTCTCGTCCTTGGAGCAGAATGACATAGTTAAGAATACATTTTTTTTTTTTTTTACTTATCAGTAGATGTCATTGTGGGGATAGACTAATTCTGGGGTTAAACATATGATGAATGCAATAGTGGTTTGCATAGATATAGCTGTATGAGAAGTTTATTTAAAGAGTCATTTTTAGTTCAGTGGTGTGTTTGATATGTTCATGTTTATATTATACAACACAAATGTTTTCTAAACTATCACTTCATGAAGAGTACCAGAGAATATTAGTTGTAAGCAAAGGTTCATGCTTGCTGAAAAAGTAGTTGAAATTTCAGTTTGTCTATAAATTCCATCTCCCTTCAATATGAAATCTTGAATCGGGAAATGTGCAGAGGAAATATTTTTGGGGAGTGAAATAGAGTAACCAATGGGGTGTCATGTCCTATTTGTCAATTGTGGTTAATTAACTAATTTTGAAGTGTCCATGAAGCAGTCTTCTTATCATCTCAGAATTTAAATAGGTAACAGTCGGTGATATTCGCTGAGTTAATTTATTTAAATGTCTTCATAAAATCACCAATGAAAATTACAATACTTTTCAAATCTGGCTGCTTATTACATTAGCTTAATATGCTGCACATTCTCGGTGCTTTTGCTGGTCTTTATACCAAGGATCTGTGCTTTATTTTCTTACTTTGTGGCTTATTTTGTTGTACTTTTCACTTGTTTTAATGTAATCTTTGCAACTTTGCATGATATGAAATATATTGTATGTTTTTGCTCATTGGTTGTATTGATAATGCATTTATTTGACGCTTCAATTTGTCTATTCTATATTGTTAGAATGTCATATAAACTCTTTTCCTCTGGATTACGCTGATAAAGCTCCAATAGCACCTCTATAAATGCATGGATATGAGGTACCGAGCTTGTATTCTGAAAACTGCAACTTGCTCATCTATAGCATTGCCTTTGTGTTTTTGTACTTTGGTCATTATTTCTGCTTGTTTAAGAGAATGAGTTCTATAGAATTTACTGGGAACAAAATATTGTTGGTGGACTCAATTTGGTTCTCAGGAAAAACTAAGTGAATGAAAATGCCGCTTTTTATTTTTTTATTTTTTTATAATGAATCCTGGTTAAATTCATGAAAGTGAGTGACTGAGATGTTATACATTTTTCAAAGATCTATAAAGCCAAAAAGGGAAATGGCACATCCGGAAGAAAAAACCGCGCAGGTGGTAGAAAATTTTTGTTGTTATTGCCTGCTGGTACTTCAAGGTCTGTCTGCAAATTGTTTTCACATTTTTAACAAATTAATTTAGCTCCACTCTGATATGTTTGGTAACCAAACTTGTTCTTTCTGCAGCTGTTCTATCTTCTGACATAGGCCTTTCTTTTTCTTAATTTTGTCTTGAGAATTTATTAAGCTTACAATACCAATTAAGGGGAAAAAAAATGGTATCATACTATTTTCTGTTTTATTTATGAGTTTGCTGGGAATACTAGCATATCCATTATATATCGCATTTAGGTATCCCAGTTCTGTTTTCCATGGTCTCATTTTCTCTCTCATGTTTCGATACATTTTTTTTTTTTTTTTTTTCTTTTTTATAGTGCATTGAATAATCTAGTTTTAGTATGCATGATAATTCTTTTTTTCTTTTCTGGTGCATTGAATAATCTAGTTTTTGTATGTCAATATTATGAATCAAGTTGATGGAGAAATAGTGTTTGCATTTTCTTACTGTGAGTGGTTAGGTTACATACTTACATGTGAGAGTGTGTCCTCTTAACTGCACATTCACTTGGATCTGTGTGGGTTGCTCTCCAAGTCACGGAATGCTTCTAAACGGGTGTCATTCTCATGCTCTGCGCATGCTCTTGCTGCCGACCTCACTATGTGTGACTTAGATTCTGTCACTTTTGTGCTCTCGATCCCAGTTCTGCACCCACTCTATGTGACTCAGGTTGCTCTTGTGGTAAACTGATGATCATCTACTTGTCATTAGAACAAATTGCAGATCTAGGATCCCTAGATATCATTGTATATTAAACCTTTCTATGTTGGCAAGTAGAGTGTAGACTGTACAGCACTACAAAAAAAGAAAGAAAGAAGAAGGGCATATTCCCTTTACAGCCAGAGAGCAAAGAGCATATGCTGTCACAAAAGAAGGAAACAGCAAAATATGGAAGCACAAAAGTCAAACAGAAGGTTGGGCTACCTTCAAAAAAACAAAAGTCAAGAACATTGGCTTTAGAAATCCCCCAT